GTTGATGAGAAACAATAAGGAGTGACACCTCCAATACAGAATTACTGTAACATTCAGAATGAACCCGCAAAGCACTTTCCCTTTTTATTTATTTTATTTATTTCACCTTTATTTAACCAGGTAAGCCAGTTGAGAACAACAACACAGAGTTACATATGGGGTAAACAAAGCATAAAGTCAAAAATACAACAGAAAATATATATAGAGTGTGTGCGAATGTAGTAAGTTACAGAGGTGTGGACTCGAGTCATGTGACTTGGACTCGAGTCAGACTCGAGTCATGAATTTGATGACTTCAGACTCGACTCGACAAAATGTACAAAGACTTGCAACTCGACTTGGACTTTAACATCAATGACTCGTGACTTCACTTGGACTTGCGCCTTATGACTCGAGAAGACTTGCTACTTCCCATGAAAACTGGGGAAAAAAATTTTCACACGGCCGCGCCGCTCTCCGTTTATCTGCATCTGTGAAAAAAATGTGCACCATCCACCTGTATGCATACAGAGAGCGCGTGCTGCCTGCACGTTATCCAATCACTGTAGTCCCACGTTGTTTTGATTCGACAGCATCTAAGCAGGCACATTGCAAGACAACCAATGAAGCACATCAAGCAACAACGCGCCAGTTGTCAAAATGATACCGAAGATAGTTTGGTTTGGCTATAAAAATTACGAGGTAGTCGACAAAAAACGAGTTGCAATCTGCAAAACATGCGGATCGAAGATTACAGACGGAGCTGCCACAACGTCCAACTTTGTTCGACACCTGAAGTTGCACAAAGAAAGGTAAGTTTTGAACGAATGCTACGCACCTTATCGGATGTACCGTAACTTACTAGCTAGCTGCTGCATATTTACTGTATCAACGAGACAAACGCACGTCTCCCTTGCTGGTTCATGCTTACAAAAATATGGATTTTTGAACTGCTATTATATGGACATTCTAAAACGCTTTCGTGAAAAACGCTTAACGTTCTTTAATGTACTAAGACAGTGTTATTAAAAGACCAAACTCTGTAAATATCATATTAATAAAGTATACTATGTACAAAACATCAGATGAGCCCAGAATATGAACGCAAACACGTTTAATAACACGTTGCGTTTTCCTCCCATAGAAAACTATTATAAGAAAGGCTTAACGTGTCTTAATATACTGAGACAGTAATATTAAAAGACCAAACTATAAATATCATATTAATAAAGTATACTAAATGTACAAAACATCAGATGAGGCCAGAATATGAACGCAAACACGTTTAACAACACGTTAAGTGTTTTCCTCCCATAGAAAACCATTATAAGAAAGGCTTAACATGTCAACTACAACCCTCAGTTGAGTCTAGATATGCT